TTAGAGAATGCTCTACTTTTTGTTAATTTATCGATCTTTCGAAATTTCAAAATCATCAAATTAACAAAAGTCAGGGCGCTATTGTAACAATATATTCTTGAGACCAAGTAGAATAGAAAAGTCTAGTACCATTTTTTTTTATCCCGACAAACAGTTAGCGAGATATCGTAAGTTAAATATTGAAAAAGTTACCAAGTTATCCTTAAATATCACAAAAAAATATTAGGCGAATAAAAAAATGTTTCAGACAAAAGTTGTTCAAATTAATTGGTGGAAAAAGACGGTGTAATAAAAAATTGGAGTTTCCATTCGAGATTTTTATGTTGATTTCGACTGGGCTTTCCAAGGTCATCCCCAGGTCAAATTTATAGCATCAGTAAATAGATTCTTTGAAGCCCTACAACTTTTGTCTGAAACATTTTTCTCTAAAATGTCGCGTTTACGACAAAATCGGGTGACCCGGGTGGTCTGAAACATCCTATACATATATATATATATATATATATATATGATATATATATAAACCAAATATCCGGGCTGATGAATTGCAGCTCGCGAGAAGATTCATTGGCTCCATTGGAAGCGTCGCTTCCACGCGCGTCTTAAGCATCGTGATTCGCGATTCACGTGCCGACGACGACCTTTCACCTTTTCAGCGCCGGGATTATACGTATTTGAGTGCGCACACCCCCGAAACCTCAGGTTTATCAGCGAACGCATGCGGCGGCTCAACCGCGCCCCTTCCGTTAGCCCAATTTGCCGCGGACTAAATGGTGGCTGCGGTTGTGTCTAGCGTGAAACTCTCATCAACCAGCATGATTACCGCTATAGAGCACACCTTTCGCGCTCTCTTCCGTCCGCAAACCGCCAGCAGGGCGGACGCCTGCAGAGCTGTCCTAGTTCGGGAAACGACCCTGACCTCGGGAGATATCGGAACTGTCGCGATAATAGCGATAATGTTCAGACAACGGCGCGTTTCCGTGTCGAAAGGGACAGTTTGTGGCGGATTTTCCTTCAGACCGGCACAAAGCTGGTCTTTACGACAAAAGACGCGAACATGTCGGTAGATTTCTCTCTCTCTCTCTCTCTCTCTCTCTAAAGCGCGAATTTAATAAATGTTTCACAAATACGGGTGGACGCGACAGTACATTGCAGTGACAGTTAAGTGGGAATTTCTCACTCTGGATGAAATTATGCGAACGTCAAATTACGCATGTTACTCGCGTCCCGATTAATTTGTGTCCCGAAAATGAATACGAATGGATATGACCCAAAGTATCCCTTTTTTCCTTTTTTTTTTTCGTCGAAAACTCACGTGTCAAAATACAATTTTATTATACGTCATTAATTCTCCCCGTAACACGAATCTGCACTTTGACGTTAGTATAAATTTTTATCAACGCCGCGCGTTAGTGTGTGCGACAAGATGTGGCAAATCCGAATATATTTTCCGATGCCGCATACACACACACACACACACACACACACACACACACACGCACACACGCACAAGACTGTGAAAAATAACAGTTACGTCCCCTGTCAGAAAAATCCCAATCTCAGGAATTTAAATTTCGATCATTCATGCACGCGCGATGCTCGGCAGCTGAATTTTGACATTTTTCGTTCACAACGAGATGATCTCCACTCTCTCTCTCTCTCTCTCTTTCTCTCTCTGCCCCAACCACTGTACTTGACCGCATATTAACGCGCGGTACCCAAGCTATTATTAACTGGATAAATCAACCGGCGCACGCGCACACATACACACAGATTCGACTTCCACCGTTAGAGAGAAAAACATAAGAAAAAGGAAAGGAAAGAAGAGAGATCGTTACGAAAGAGAGAGACACGAAATAAGACGCCGGCAAAGAGGAGAAGGATTCGAAATGGCAAGAGGATTCTCGGCAGACGCCATTAATACGCTTTACTGTACGTGCGTTTCTCTGATTCCTTGGCCGAAATGGACTCGACCTCGTTAATTCTTAAGAGGCGCCCCGTCGCCGCGGGCTATAAGAGGGAAGAGAAACAAATTACGAAGAGAGAAAAAGGGAGGGGGAGAGAGAGAGAGAGAGAGAGAGCGTGCGCGCATGAGAAAGGAGGGGAAGGAGAGCAGACGAGGAAGATAAGAAAGATCTTTCGAATCGTGCATTACTTCCACGCATCGTCCGTGTCGTAATAATATATCGATCGTCGCGTTCGGGGCCGAGATATACATTTACCGTGTTTACCGTAATCACTACGGATGCGCGCGGAAATTTATCATCGTTAAAGGGCGAAATCGCCGAGGAGAAATAACGCGGTGTAACGGCGATATCTGCGCCGGTCAGTTGCAGATCGGTTGCGAGTTCGCCAACTCGCCGATTCCCGCACTCATGCCGCCTCATGAAGCATTCGGCACAAATTCCCCGAGAAGAATTCTCAGTTGAAGAATCGGGCGAGCAAACGGTCGCAGGCGGATGCCGACAGACCGCGAGGCGTCCTGAGCGGAAACTTAGCTCCATCGGCGCACTTCACGGAGTTGCACTTGAGCGGCATGTCGCCGCTCCGGAGCAGAACTCGCCGCAACATCAAAACCACCGCGAGATCAAAACAAACGTGACGCTTCGCCGGCGCGGTGTCAGCGACTCTCGGGGGTGGGGATCTGAGAAGCAACCACTGATAAGGAACATCCGCTGAGTGTGTGTCTCCGATTTCGACGAAATTTGGCATATTTGTAGAGCAGTCCAAAATAAGAGACCCCATATTTTTGTTATCGGCAATGACTCAGATTTAAGGAATGAAACCCTGCCCCTCAAAGTTTCGTCCTCAAAGTTTATGCTATCCCGACAATTATTGCGGATAGAAGAGAACTTTTTAAACCAAACTTGTACGCTTTCTCATGCTGCACAATTTTTGTCCAAAAGGTTTCTTCCCACCTGGTAATTATATGATATATCGAGATAGCATAAAGGGGATGAAACTTTGAAGGGCAGTCTCACCCCTTGAACCTGAGCCATATTACCGATAACAAAAATATAGGTCTCTTATTTTTGGCTACTCTACAAATATACCAAGTTTCGTCGAAATCGGAGACACACCTCGCGGATGTTCCTTGTGAGAAGGACAATGAGATCGGGAGGCCGAGAGACGGCTCGGCCACTCTCAGGAAACGACACCGGGCTGGCTGGTTCTACCGATCTACTACCGGCGACTGATCTACTATCGGCGCTCCATAACATAGTGGAGGTGTAAAGGGAAGAGAAAAAAACTCTCACCGCAACTTAACGTTGCAGAGTAGCGCAGCAGTCCTCTCCGCGAGAGCCGGATAGCGAAAGCCCGGATATCGCCGAAGCGAAATCGATGCGGTTTGCGCGCACGTTTATCGATTTCCCGATTTTCCGATTTCCCTCCTCGGCCCTCCTTCTCCCTGCTGTTCTTTCTCTTTTTCGCCGCCCAGCGATATCGTGCGGCGAGGCAAGTTCGAATACGCCCTTTAGCCACGGCGGCAGCCGTGCTTATGGGTCGACCGCGCTCGGTACTGTTCGTGCTCGTCGTTTGATGCAAATTCGTTGTAAAATCGCGCGCGCGAACGAGCGCGACGGCACTCTTGAACGGCTGGGTCGCGCGTTTAATTTCGCTCTCGGTGGCGGGGAAAATCCACGCGGATTTTCCCCGCGGTCGGAATTACTCGCGCGCGCGCGCGAGAGAGAGAGGGAGAGCTGCGCGAGGAGGCCTGTAACGCGCAAGCGCGAGCGCGGCCTCATGACGTTTCCGAGCAAAAAGAATTAAGCGCGATAGTGGGAAGATACTAGCTGCACGTAAATCCATTAAAACCCGTCTTTTGTTCCCGACCTGACGAAAGGATTTATAGGCTGACGCCGGTGTCGGCGGTTGCGCCGTAACAAAGACAAATGGATCCGTGAATGAAGTAGAATGGACGCCGCCTCAAATATAAAATTAATTTGAACTTCATACTTCTCTCTCGGCAGGATCGCGGCGCGGCGCGGCAGGCCGCGAGGCGGCACAACGCTGCGATGCGCCATTCACGCGCGGAAAAAAGTCATATAAATATTCGCCGACGGGGCCGTATCCGCTTTGTGCGCTCCCGGTCGCGTGAATCATTTATTATCCTCTTTTGCTGTTATATGATACGGCCAGCGGCGGCGCGCAAGGGCGACGCGAGGGGCGCGAGGGGCGCGTGGGGCGAGCGTGAAAAACTGACGGACTGACATACGTTCCGTGATATAATTTGACGTCCCGTTCTCGCGGAAGCGCGGGTCCTCCTCGCTCGCGCGCGCGACTTTTGTCTCGCGGGAGATTTATGATTTATGATAATTTTGTCGCACGGCGAAACGGGAAATTGCACGGCCAAATTGGCGCGCACAAAAGCGAGCCGACGCCGAAGCGCAGCGAGGCGAGACACGCCCGACGTGCGAAAGCGAACTCTCGCACGTCCAAGGAATTTCGCGTCCGGCTGCCCCTCATTCAATGGCTCAGCGTCCTCGCGAACTGCGGACGGCCGCAGTATCGACTGATCTCTAAGGCGGAAGTGTACAATGAGCGTTCGCTTGAACCGTGAGAAACATTTGACGGACGCTACTCGTCGGACGTCGGCGTCATGTTGGGCCAAGAGGAGGTGCTCCGCGAAGTGTACATCTTGGCGCCTTCTCTCGGCCATTGAATACCGATGGAACAAGTTCCGGCGTCCTCCAGAATTTCAGAAGCCTCGGCCGCTCGGAAAGTCCGAAGCGGCGAGAGCGGCGCGCAGCCTTGCGTGTACGTAAACAGCGCGGTACGACTCGAATTAATTAGCCTTCGGGAAGCGGCGGCGCGTCCCCGCCGACTCGACTCGTGTTCAAAGTTCCCGGATTCTCGGCGAATGAAAACGGCGACGGGCGCCATCACGGCAGCCGACGCTACCAGCTGTTTCTCACGCAGCGCGCGCGCGCGCGCGCGCGAGGAGGCGAAAAGATGGGATTTTATTCCCGCCGAGCGGAAAACAAAGGCACTGTACTTACCGCTGATCCACGTGCCGTTGAAGCTCTGGGGAGCTAACGAACCGGAGAGCCATTCCGACAGAGAGATGCCAGACGCGCCGTCCGCCGTGGACGCCGAAGTGCCGGGCTTGCCGGTCAAAAGGATCGCCGCCGCGATCACCAAAGCCAGCACGATTATAACGACGAGGCCGCAGACGAGCAAACGCCGCCGATATCGCTGCTTGTTTTTCGTCATGAGGTCCTGCAACAAACACGCGCGAGATTTACCGTTATTGTTATCGTTATTATTATTATTATTATTATTATTATTATTATTATTATTATTACTGCGAGCAGCGAGATTTCGTTGAATCGTGCGTATTGCAAAATCCGCACTCACGAAGAGCGAGCCGTGCAGCGGCGAAATAGTTACGTCGCTGTCGAAAAATCCAAATGACCGTATTTCCAGTGGGGAGGGATTAATCTGGTTTTATAAACAATGTATTATGAAAGCATGTATGAGCGAAAATGCACACACACGCACGCGTCCAGCCATCGGTAGGATGGTAGGAAATCGCAGCGCCATTAATGGCGGATGATTAGGAACGTCCGTTAGATTTTGCAATGCGAACCGAATGAAACGACGGAGCATCCATACGACTAATGAATGCCCGCGCGGTCAGCTTTCGACGTTTAAATTAGGAATAATACCGCAATTATTATGCGGCCGCATAGCTTGGGAAGCTGAAATCGCGGGCGTTCGGGTTCATCAGTCGCGCGCGCATTTATCGTAATTGTTTTGCAGTCACTGTAAACAGACGTAGAAAACGCGCGTGAACATATTTCGCTTTAGCAACCGACCGCTTGATTTATATCAGCATTTGTTTGTTCAACATTTTAATTAAAATGTTGCATGCGTGCCGCGTCGCCGGCATGAATGAAGTTCCCTCGGTATGGAGAAAAGTTTCATAATACCGTCGAAATATCAGCGCGCTCCAAGCGTGTAACCGAAATGATTAATACATCTCAAGAGCGAGTGTTCAATCGAGCCGCCCGTGCAACTCCCACAGCCTCTGTATTAAAAAAAAAAAAGAAAAAAAAAAAGGAAAAAAAAGCAGGCGGACACACATGCGTGCGTGCGTGCGTGCATGCGTGCATGCATGCGCATCGTTACGCTCCGGTTTTCTCTCCGTTCGGAACGACGCGGCCTTTCCGCACGTCGAATGCGCGCGCGCCCGACGGATTACGTCGTAAAGTTTTCGGAAGCATATCTCATAACATCGCAAAGAATCCACCTCCGGCGCGTTAAATGAGCCAGTTAGGATTCCGCACGTCCGGGGAAAGTTCGAACACCGTGGGCTCCCTTTTCGGGGACGATGTGCTCTCTCGAACGCGGCTAGTGAGAGATATGGCGGTGCCGCGCGATCGCGATATGAGAAATAGCCGTGGAGGGAATGGAAGAGGAATGGGCTGTTTCTACGTAAGCCCGGGGTCTTATCGAGAATTGGATTTCGTATTTCTGGAAAAATAAAAGCCGCCGCCGCCGCCGCCGCCGCGGCGCGCGATGGAGCGGCAGCAATTGGCCGGTCCCGTATTTATAAATCATTTTTATCAAAATTAAATTTGATCTCTCAGCGCGGCGGGCGTTATCAGGTCGCGACGTGAGACCTCATTTATCCGGACTCGGCCGAGCCCGGCCGAGATCGAATCGCGACTGTCGATCGTTTATTAATTAGAGCGAGCGCGCACCTCGCGTTACAACTCTTTCACGTTTGCGCACCGCGATCGATGGCGGGGCGGACGAGCATCGGCGCGACGGCGCCGGATCGGACTTTTCCTCTCTCAGTCCGACGTTCCTTCCTTTCCGTTCATTTTCAGCCGTCGCGCGAACGCGACGACTCGAGCGTTATCAATTAGTACGAACTCCCGCGCGCGCCTTCCGCATCCAGGTTGCGCGACCTTCCGCTGTTCACGCATCGCAATCGATAGCAGAAACGAACGCTCGCGCGACGATGGATCAGATTTGTCCTTGATCTGACGTTTCTTCCTTTTCTCATTCGTTTGCGCTCGCGCGGATACACACGTTAACAGCGTGATTTACGAACGCGCGCACGAGCGGCGGCTCGACGGCACTGGAATAGCCTTTTCTTACGAGGAGCGGAAGAGCAGTTTTTGCGCGGCTCGGCGTTTGATCCGCCGTCGCGTTTTCGCAATTTTTCCATTTATTATGTGTCGGTGAGATGTGGCTAAATGGAGGCCCGACCACGGCGCGTGCCGAAACGGAGGCTGAATTTTAACGAGACGACGAAAAGGGCTGGTAATCGGGTTTCTCGATCGTTACGCGAACACCGAGAGCGGCTTTTAGCCGCACCGAGCGAGTAAATCGGAAGACGTCCGAAATGTGTCCCTCGGCTTGTCACATCGAGAGAGAGAGAGAGAGAGAGAGAGAGAGAGCGAGCAATTTCTTCCCTCGTTTGTGCGCATCGGAGTATCAATTTCGCGCCTTCCGCTCGAGCAACATGACTTTCCGGGAGACGGGCTTGTCAATAAAGCCGCCGCGGTTCGTTTCTTACGAATCGCGAATCCCCCCCAGCGCGCTTCTTTCAATCAACAGCCGACGCATTCGCATGCGCTATTCATTGCTATTAAAACGAGCCCGCTATAGACTGCGGATTCTAATTAACTCCGCGGGTTCTTACAATTTCGCGCCGTCGTTACCGCTATCAGTCGTCCGTGCGCATGCGCGCGCGCGCGCGGTCTAATCAAAAAGTAACCGTGCAGTCTTTCAGTCGATTATCGTTCCCCCCTCGTCGCGCATTCGTCCTCGCCGTCGTTCCGCCGTCTGAATGCAGTTTGAACAGCGTGCTCTCGGTAATGGTATTACGTGCAAAGTGCCGCAATATCGAACGCGTTTGCTTTTACTTCCGCGAGCGTGACCTCTAGATAGACTATGTACAAGTCGCAGCTCAACCCGCTATCTGTTTTGTAGATGTGTGTCTGTGTGTGTATGTGTGTGTGTGTGTGCGCGCGCGCGCGAGCACGGACGGATGTTTCTCTGTATTACACGCCATCGAAAGGTCGAATTGCCTATCTAAAGTGTCTCGAGTGTCCGCCTTCGCACGTATTCCCTTTGAATCCGGCATATCGCTCGCTAAAATTCACCGGCGAGGCAGAGTTTCACGCGCAGCGCGGCCGGCGCGGAATTTCGCGTGCAAACCCGACGAAGAAATGTTCACGCCCGCGCGGTGATCGCGCGGATAATCGCGCAGCGAGACAATAATCGTTCGCCGAGAATTCTCGGCTTCTCCGCGCGCGTTTCGCCGCAGCGACGTAGACGTGGTCGTAGTCGTCGATACGGCCGACGACGCATCACGAGAAACAACGCACGAAAGAGATCCTCGAATGACACGACGTCGACGTCGACGTCGACGTCGGGTATTTGCACAGCGAACGTTATTGCGTGGAAATAAATCCGCTCCCCGTGCGCGTTTTCAATATCCGCTTTGCTTAACATTTCGCCCGCGCTGCCCTTGGCGGAACCTTGCCGCAATATCGCCGATGGAGGTCGTCAACTAGTTTGAGCGGAAACGAATTTTTCGTTTCGCCAAGTCGGCGCACATTCCGCGGGACATTGTTTCTCAAACTATGGAGATCCGCAACTTCGTTTCCGCGAATATACCCCGGGCTCTTTTCCCTCTCCTCGCCGCGCGCCCGATTCCCAAGGATTACTCAATCCGAGATTTCCGAGACGCGCGATCCGCGTGTGAGAGGGCAAAATTTCAAGTACTCACGCGAGCACGAATAATCCGCTTCAACGCGGCGCATCAATAAGCGGCGGAACAAAGTAAGGTAATAGTCCATCTCTAATGCGATTTACAATTACAATATTAAATCCTGCTTGGAGCGGCAATATTAGTTAACAAAGCTCGAAAACTCACCATACGGTTGATCAACGACCAGCTTCCCACGGCTCGGCTTCAGCACAGCCGAGTGCTGAATGTTGAAAGCAACAATGCCGAGAGGACGAATTCACACGTTCGCTCGTTAGCGAGCGCTCGTGGAGGGGGAATAAAACCAAACGCAAGGTGACTTTCGAGAGCTCTACTAATAACGATATTGGACGACTCGTAAATAACGCGAAGGGCCGCGCGAAGATAACAAATATATTTCTTTGTTCCAAACGCACACAGGGGGAGAGCTCTGCGAGTCATTGTCGCGATAACGATACAGTGCCGCGAACGATACCACGTTTCTTTTTCTTTTTTTTGTTTTTCATACACACGTGTGAGATGAAAGTTTTGAAAAAAATTTCTTGACTGGACGCGACAAATGTAATAATATTCACACATCTCTAGAAAACTGTCGCTTGTTGTGCGAAATTCTTCACGCTTTTCGAGTAAAGCATTAAATTAAATTAAATCGCGCGCGCGTGGAGCTAAAGATATATATCGAGCCAGATATTATTAAGTTGTAAAGAGGAAACGCACGACTGTGGGCGCTTATACGAAAAAAAGAAAACAAGGCCGTATGCTCCCGACGAAGCATCGTTATCGTCGTTGTAAAATTTCGAGAAGCATTTCGCCGCGCTGCAAGTGTAATTTACACACGATCGATAAACGCCCGCGTCTTCCTCTTCTTCTTGTTTTTCTTCTTCCTTTCCTTTGCTCGCGCCTTCGGCGCGATGAGTGAGCACTACTGTAGAATTTACTGTCTTCGGACGTGTATGACGGGGCACGCGGCGCTGCGGAATCACGCTCATACTTTATCTCGAGAATATTGATTTTCGCGGTCGTTGCGTGAACCACGCCGGCGAGGCGGGCTCACGTGCAAAAGGAGCTAAAAAATTTAGCAGGTGTGATGGAAGCCGGCCTGGCCCGACGCCAAGTACACTATCGCGCTTTGAGGATCCATAATTTGTAACTGAGCCGTCAACCTGGCGTATTGTTATCGAGGGTCTCGCTGTTCGCTGAGGTCCTCGTTGTTCGCGAGGCCAAGTGTGAGCGCAGGTCCCGCCGCAACTTTGCCCGCCGCGCCGTCGAAAACAAAAAGGACGAACAAAGCAAGGAAAAAATGAAGAAGAAGAAGAAGAAGAAGAAGAAGGACGCGGGTATTGGAAACTGATACATTTCGTTGACGTATGGTAATGTCTTCTCTATCACTGCGACGTGGGACGGGAGCAAGTTGACACACGGTTACCGCGACGCGCCAGTACGCGACGTTTGCGCGAAGGCACGTGTAATTTTAAATAATATATCGCTACTT